AAAAAAGAAAAAGAAAAAAAGAATGGGAAATTTTATAATCAATGGATTGAGCTGACAACACACCTGAAACCACTGTTCAATCTTGGTATCAGAAAAGCAAAAATCCTCAACCAAAACATCTGTTAGATCTAATCAAGGAATTCAGTAAAGTTGTAGGATTCAAAATTAAAATACAAAAATCAGTAGCGGTATTTTTACACTTACAAAGAATTTTCTGAAAAAGAAATAAATTTACCCCATTTACAATAGCATCAAAAAAATAAAATAGAAATAAATTTAACTAGGGAGGTGAAAGATCTCTACTCTGAAAACTACAAGATACTAATGAAAGAAATCAAAGAAGACACAATAAGAAAGGTATTCTGTGTTTATGAATTCAAAGAATATTGTTAAAATGTTATCACTACCAAAAGCCATCTGTAGATTCAACGCAACCATTATCAAAATTCCAATGGCTTTTTTCTTTATACAAAAGTAGAGGAAAACACTCCTAAAATTTATGTGGAAACAGAAAAGACTTTGAATAGTCAAAGAAATCGACTTTTTTTTTCAAGTAAGTCTCAATTTTAATAAGATCCTCTACATACACATATGCTACTGAAAACTGAACTACCACAAAAAGTTTTTATTGTAATTCCAATTTTTGAAAACCAGAAAATCTAGCCTATGCACCCTGCCCTAATTATAATTATGCTCTAGCCAAACCACCCAATATTCTCTATATATTCCTCCTGTGCAAGTTACTTGGCTTCCAATTTGATGTTAGGTTTTCTTGTTTTTTTTTTTTTTTCTTTAAATGTTTTTATTTTTGAGAGAGTGTGTGTGAGCAGGGGAAGGGCACACACACACACACGCACACACACACACACAATCCGAAGCAGCTCCCAGCTGCCAGCACAGAGTCCTATTCTAGAAAGCTCTAGTCTGATTCCGAACCCAAATGAGCCACCCCGGAGCCCCATGTTAGATTAACCTATCTTAATGACTTCAGGCTTCTCAAACACATAAGCAACACTCAAAACCTATTAGTGCTTCCTTGGGTCATATCAAAAAGTGAAACTAAAGTATATTTAAGTCATTCAAATGCAAACTACAGGATTCCTCTCAAATTACAGGTATCAAGGTAGAAAAGACAAGACAGAGCTAATATCATAGATTGTCAAAATCAACTAATTATGCTAACTAATATTTGAGTAGGAAGCCAAGAATACCTGACAGAGAAGACCCTCTTCACAATAAATAGTGCTGGAATAACTGGATATTCACATACAAAAGAATGAAATTATACCCTTATCCTATACCATTCACAAAAATTAACTCAAAAAATTGAAGACTTAAATGTATGACCTCAAACCATGAAACTCTTAAAAGAAAACACAAGAATGAAGCTGCCTGACATGGATCTTGGAAAAGATTTTTTTGGATACGACACTCAAAGCCCAAGCAAAAATAAAAAATAGGTAGGCGGAACTACATAAACTAAAAATCTTCTGCACAGAAACCATCAACAGAGTGAAAAGACAACCTAAAGAACAGGAAAAAAATATGTGGAAACCACAGATCTGATAAGGGGTTAATATTCTTAATATATAAAGAACTCATCCAACTCAACAGCAAAAAACCAAATAACCCAAATAAAAAATTGACAAAAGACCTGACTAGATTTTTCTAAAAGATGATAAATGGAAGGGCGGCAGGTACATGAAAAGATGCTCAACATCACTTGTTATGAGAAGAATTTTAACTAAAACCATAATAAGATATCACCACATGCCTATTAGAAGGGCCATCTTCAAAAAGGTAAGAGATAGTAAATGCTGGCCTGCATGTGGAGAAAAGGGAACTCATATGCACTGTTGGTGAAACTGAAAATTGCTACAGCCACTATGAAAAACATTATGTAGGATCCTAAAAAAATTAAAAATAAAACTACCACACATGATCCAGCAATTTCACTTCTGGGAATACATCCAAATGAATAAAAACTGCTAACTTGAAAAGATATCTGCACACACTGTTCACAGCAGCATTATTTGTAACAGCCAAAGTATGGAAACAATGTACGGGTCCATCAATGGATGAATGAATAAAGAAAGTGTGGTTTATATACACAATGGAATATTATTCAGCCATGAAAAACAAGGATCCCACTGATACATCATTTTCTTTCCTTTATTCACAATGCAACTCAAATTTTAAAGTTTTTTTCTGGATGCAATAAAAGGGAAAAATCAGCAATTTTCAAAAACTTTTGTAACCACAAATAACATATAATTTGCATACTATCCAAGACATTTACAATCTAAATTAGATGACAAATAACAAACCCAAGCAAAAAGTATGGACATGGACATAATAAAAGACTGGTGACTAAAAAATTAATCTTTTCCTTGTTTGCGACAACAGGGATAGACCTTGAAGGCATTATGCTAAGTGACATAAGAGAAAGAAAAATACTTATTATCTCACTTATTTGTGGAATCTAAAACAAACAAACAACAAGATAAAACTCACCCAAAAAAGAGATCAAATCTGTGGTTACCAAAGGCGGTGGGAGGAGCGAGGGGAAATTGGAGGAAGGTAATCAAAAGGTACAAACTTCTAGTTTTAAGATACTAAGTACTAGGGATATAATGTACAACATGACCATAGCCAACACTACTGTATGATACACAAGGAAGATGTTGAATAAATCTTATAAGTTACCACAAGGAGAAATTTTTTTTCCTCTTTAAAAAAATTATACCAATATGAAAAGTTGGATGTTAGATAAACCTATTGTGGTAATCATTTCACAGTACATGTAAATCAAACCACCACGCTATGCGCCTTAAACTTACACAGTGATGTATATCAATTATTTCACAATAGGACTGGAAAAGATAAAAATGACTGTCAGAAATAGTAGACATAAATTGTCTAACTGCTTATTACTCCAGTTTAAATCAAGATAAAAGGTGGTGTGTACCTTTAGGAAAAAAAAGCAAAGAGGAAAAAGAGAAAAAGAGTCAAACACTATGTGGTGGTTCCTGACTGGAGGTATACACCACCCTTACAAATTACTTTGGAAAAAAAAAAAAAAAGAAAGAAAAAGATACCACACACAAATCTGATTGTCTAGATGTAACAGCAATTTTTAGGATGGCACAAAGGAACATGTTAAACAATGTGTAACTGCAACTTTAACAACTGAATTGCAAAGAAGAAGAAAGAAGAGAAAACCAGGTGGAACCTATGGTAAAGACAAACTTATAAAACGTTATTAATTTGCAATGCATAGAGATTATTTAGATTGTGATTTGAACACATGTAAAAATATATACGTATATTCATGACAGAGCACAGGTGATACAGTCAAAGATAATGTCATAGTGTATGACAGATGGTAGCTATGCTTATGGTGAGCACTGCACAAGGTATACAGAATTTGAATCACTATATTGTACAGCTCAAACTATTTTAAAACTGTGTCAACTATACTAAAAAAGTATTAAAAAGATGTATATACTTATATATCATGAGACATGATACTAACTGAAAATGCAATGATATACTGAAGTATTTTCAATTCTATTGCAGTATAATAATGGTATGTAGTTATGGGTACTTTAAAAAAAAAAGTTTACTCAGTTTTGAGAGACAGAGCGTGAACAGGGGAAAGGGAGAAAGGGAGAGGGAGACACAGAATTGGAAGCAGGCTCCAGGCTCTGAGCTGTCAGTGCAGAGCCCAACACGGGGCTCAAACTCATGAACAGTGAGATCATAACCTGAGCTGAAGTTGGCTGCTTAAACTGACTGGGCTACCCAGGTGCCCCGGTAGTTATGGGTCTTAAAAAAGGGTCCTTATCTTTTAGAGATATGTACTGAAATATTTATGGATGAGATGATATGATGTCTGAGATTTTAAGATAATCTGGGGTGGGATATATATAAGATTGGTTATGAGGTGATCATTACTAAAGCTGGATGATAAACACAATGGGGATTTATTATACTATTCTTTCCACTTTTAAATGTTTCAGATGTTCTAAAATAAAAGCTTAAACAAATGTCTAAAAATCTGAGACACCTGGGTGGCTCAGTGGGTTAAGTGTCCAACTCTTGACTTTGGCTCAGGTGAGAAGTTCGAGTCTCACATAGGGCTCTATGCTGACAATATAAAGCCTGCTTGGCTCTCCCTCTTTCTCTGCCCCTTCCCTGCTTGTGCTCTCGCTTGCTGACTCTCAAAACAAACAAACAAATAAACAAACAAGCATTAAAATGAAAAAATGTTTAGAATTTTGCATTTAATATTTCTACTTGAAGAAATAAAAACTCCAGCACAAATGACTAGTTTACTAAATTTAACATACAAAAAACAAGAACAACTTGCCATTCAGATTTTAAAGTGAAGTTTGTTTCCAGGTATGTTTCCCTTCCAGGATCCCATTGACACATCATTTTCTTTCCTTCATTTACAATGCAACTCAAGTTTTTAGGTTTTTCTGGAGGCACTAATAGGGAAAAATCAGCAAATTTCAAAAAGCTTTTTGACCAGAAATAACATACAATTTATATACTACCCAAGATATTTAAAACCTAAATGAGATGATAAATTAACAAACCTAAGCAAAAAGTATAGAAGACTGATGACTAAAAAACGAATCTTTTCTATTTGCACTCATACTTTTTAGATTAAATAATACATATTTTCTATAATAACTGTCATAACTCGTATGTTTCAAATTAATTGTCTACACAAAAGCAATTTTCATTTATAACTGGATATCCATATTAACTGATTTCTCCATGAAGTTTATTTTAATAATACTGCATATGTTATTAAAGGCAATTAAATGGAAACAAAATTAATTATATTTCTCTTCCTATTACTTTCTAAAACTCTGCTGGAGGAAAAGCAAATCCCAAAATTATGGTTTTGGGTATCCATAAATTTGATAATCCACTCTTGGGTCACACTAAGTTTATTTACTCTGACATAGGACTTTCTCCAGTATTTCTTCACTTTCGCCAGTTAGTTGCTTTATATGTGCATCTTCTCGGCAATTAAGGGATACTGAAAGTTACTATGACTACATTCATAAACTTCAACAATGTTTTGTGGGTCTCATGTCAAAACATTTTTTTAGAAAACTGATGGATACCTGACTTTCATAAAAGAGAAAACTTATGTTACTCTTCAGGCTTTTTGTATATTATTAATGCAAATATAGTTCCGCTTCAAAACTTATTTTTTTTAATTAATTATGTCCAAAAGTCACTAAGCCAACAGACTGCCACATTTCATAAAATCCAACAGACATTACAAATGTAATTCAACAGTCATAACAAAGTCTGAAATAAGGCAAAAACAAAACTTACAGCCTGAAATTATTCTGATTCCATAAACATTCTGATCAATCTGTCCAAATGTACGAATGTTGCAAGTGAGTTGAATATTTAATAACGATATATCTGTAAATGTGACACTAGATGCTGTTCTGTTTATGATGGTATATTGTTCTTTAGGAACAGTAACATGGTTTGTTTTCCAGAAAATGTAATTAGCATTTACATGAAAATAATCCATGCATTTTTCCTTTAGCACACAAACTGCAGTGAAATTAGAACCAAGTTGTACAACTGGAGATTCAGGTTTGATATGACCACATGGCTCTAGAAGTTCACCTGAAAAGGAACAACAGAAAATATAAAAATGGACTGAATCATTCTGGTACAAAATGGTATTTTATATCAAAGCAGTCCCTCAATATTGAATAAATTATCTCTAAAGACAGGAAAAAAGGAACACACAGTAAAAAAAAAAAACAAAACATGGCCAGAATTCAATGCCTAAATTTGTAAAGAAATACACAAATTATAAGGCTAATGAAAAGAAAAATGTATGTAAGCTTCAGCCCTTTTGATAGTTATTCCAACTTTACTTTAGGAAACACAGACTGCCTGCAGCATGATTCAGACTTATTCCACCACCAATCCTGTTCCTTGATTCAGACCCAAGGTCTAAATTAAACCCTCCAGAAAAGAGGCAGTGGTAGGTTCTGCTCTCCAGTCCTGATGGTGTTGGGCGGGTAGATGGGGGCAGGGAAGATAGTATGCATGTTCATTTAACAAAATTCAGACAACAAAGTAAACAGCAAGGGAACAAAAAAACCATGGAGACTAAAACAAGATGACCAAATATATGTTTTAGCAGTAAGTATATGGGATAAAATCCCATATTAAAAAACAAAAAAATCAGACTGCATGAAAAAATAACTATACCACAACTATATGCTTTAACTATACTCAATTCCACGCGGATGACAACTAAATCCCTATCTCCAGCTCTAACTTCCTACTGTTTTCAATAGCTTGAAATACATACCCATGTGAGATTTTCTGTAAGTACTCTAAGGTGAACATATCTAAAGATATATGTACCACAGTTCCCTTTAAACTTATTATTTCTCTATCTCTGCTCAGAGCACCATGTGCATCCAGTGATCTAGGCCAGATACCCTGCAGTCACCTTCAATGTCTCTAATTAGATTCCTCCAACTTCCAACTTAACAACACTGCATTGAGTCTTGTTGGTTCCAGATTCTTAATATGTTTATCAACCACTTTCTTACCAGCCCTATTTTGTCTGCTGAAGCTCAGGCCATTACACCACGGCCTGACCTCCTTCCAGTTTATCCTGCATACTACTACCCGAGTTACTATTCAAAATGATCATGCTATTTCCCTATTTTAAATTATTTAATGGTTTCCTGCTACCATCAACATAAAATTCCCAACTACTTGGCATGATTCTAGCCTCACTGCCTAGAAATGTAAGGCAGCTTTCCCTAGAAAATCCCATTTGCCAATGGGTTCTTGGGTGGTTACCTATCCTAACTGAGCTTCAGTTTTTTTCACTTGGAAAATGAAGTTACTAAACAAGTGTTTCTGAGATTAAAAATTACTTATATAAAACATCTATCTCAATGCCTGATATTCAACAGTCCACCAATAAATGGCAGCCTATCATCATTATTATTAATCTCCAGAGACAATCAAGTCACACTGATAGGGTCTGGAAGGTTCTCTCAAAGTCATCAGGAAGAATTAAAAACAGTTTTTTTGCAGTCAAAACTGTACTCCAAAATGGAATCCTGGACTCTCATAAAGCCTATAATGCCCAGAGTAGGAATGTGTATTTCTTTGTTTCAAAACTCATAATGTGGGATGTTTACATGACCTTGCTATTATTTATTTATGTTTACAGTAAGTCCCAGTGCATTACTCTAAACTTCCAATTGTATGGAACTTCATCTTGTGGGGTACTAACAAGTTACTCTGATAGTGGGCCAGTCCTTACAAATCCCTAGACCTCACTTTATTCCTTGGTAAAATCACTCCTATTTTACTTTCTCTAAAGTAATTATAAGGAACAGTAAGTACACAATACACTTTACAGAACTACATGAGACACAACTACAGGCTCAGTATTAATACTTTTTAAACACACAAAATAAGAGAAATACCAGAAATGAACAAATGTTCCAAAGTGAAATACAGGTTCATTAAAATCATCCTATGCTAAATTAATACCATTTTTACAGGGCTACCAGGTTATCTGAGATTAAATTGCTTAGAAAGAAAGCATTTTAATTTTTAAGCAACTGAGAAAGTTAGTTGGGGTAATTACATAGACAAGATGAAGAAATGTGGATTAGAATATACTATAACATGTAATATAGCATGAACATTACAAAACTGTTATTTGGTTGTTCCTGAGTTACAAAAACAGAAATTCCATTGGTTCAAACTAAATTGAATCTTAATTGGTTGATTACTCAAATATAAAAAATACTACAAGAAAAGTCAGCGTGAGAAAGGTCTTGAGTAGGCTCAAGTGCCTGCTCTTAGCCCTTGTGCCAGATTGTATTTTCCAAACATGGTCACACCTATATATTTATCCCATCCCACGTGCTCTTCTTACAATGTGACTGATACTCCTTCCACAAAGAAATGGGGTCAACTCCTGCCCTCGGATCTGTGTGGGTACTAATGGCCCTCCGATCTGCCTCAGCTAATGGAGTGTACTATGTGACTTCCAAGGCTAGATCATTAAATGAATACAACTTTTGACTAGCTCTCTTTTTCTCTTTTAGAACATTTGTCCTTGGAACCCAGCCACATGTTGCGGGTGAGCCAAGGTCACATGGGGAGACTACATGCACTGTTCTGGCCAACAAGCCCAGCAAAGTCCTCAAACTACAGCCAGCATCAACACCAGACATATAAATGAATGTGCCTTCACATGATTCTAGTTCCCAATCTTAGAATACTCCAACTGAGGTCCCAGATATCATACAGCAAAGATGAACAGTCCAGCTATTTTATTCATGACACACAAACCGTGAGAAATAATAATGATTGCCATTTTAAGCCTAAAGTTTTAGAGTAATTTGTGAAACAGCAATAACGTGGTCCTGTTATTCTGAACATATTTATTGATAACTTGGCAGAAAACAGAGAGACATCCACACTTATCAAATTAGCAAAGGACAAGACTATGAAGGATTGACAACGCTTTGGATCATAATGTTAGGATTAAAATTATATTGAAAAAATAGACCAGTAGGCTAAAACCAAGATAATGAACTATGCCAGAGAGGAAAATACCTCCCATTCAGGCTGATATGAAATAAATACAGGGTAAGGGAGAAATGGCTTAAAAGTAATTCATGTGAAAATAACTTAAGAATTTTCACTGGCTAGTAGCTTAATATGAAACTACAGTCCATCTTAGCTGGAAAAAACTATGTTGATTGAATAAAAATGATGTTTAGATCAAAGTAAATTATAAAATTACTATACTCAGACCAAGTCCAGTTTTGGTACATTAAATTCACTTTTTTAAGTGTATTTTATTCGAACCTCAATAATAATTATATAATTACTATCCTTTTTATAATGTTTACTATGGGCCAGGCACCGTCCAGATGCCTTCTGTATAATAATTCATTTAATCTCCATAATAACCCTAGGAGTTAGGAACCATTATTATTCCCATCTCATAGATCAGGAAACTGAGGCACAGATTAAGCAACTGGCCAAAGTCCTACAGCTGGTAAGTGTGAGAGGTGGGATGGTCTAGTATTTTGAAGGTGCTATGGGCAACCAAAGGAAGAATGAGAAGTGTAATCAGCATGTACAGGGTTAGAAGCCAAGGCTGTAAAAAATAATTAGGATAACTGCGTAAGTTCAATTTGGGGAAGAGAGGCCTCAAGAGACACATAAACACAGTTCTTCAATATGTGAAGAGTTGAACAGTGGGAAGAGAAAGTGGGAGTAGTCTAGAACTAGGGTTAATGGGAAAACATTTCAAGGAGAAAAATTTGGGCTTCAGAATAAGGAAAGATTTCTCAAATAGCAACAATTTTCAAAATAAGCTTTATGTCACTTAAAGTGTTCAAAAAGAGCTGCATTCCTAGATTTAGAAAGGGGATGATTTATAGCAGTGCTTCTCAAACTATCTGTGGTGAAAAGATCAGTATGGCTTTTTCTTCCCCCCAGTCTTTCACAATCTTTGCTCTGTACCATTTTTGATGAGACAAGTCCAGGGATCACATGCTTGGGTATCATGGCTATGTCAAATTGTTAAGAACTTCTAACATTTATTCTTAATTTCTGTACTTAAGTGGACCAGTAACAACAACCAGTTCTCAGATGGGCATCACGTTGTGGTCTAGTTTGAGCAGTACTGCTTCAAGTGACCTCTTTATACTGGTATCACAATAACACTCCTGCTCAGTGATACCTTTGGCCACTAAATGTAACAGACTTTCCCCTATGTATCAATTGAAAAAAAAAAAACAAAACCAAAACCCAACAAAACCAAAAATATATTTTTTCCCCTCCCCACCTTAAAGTTATTGCCAGTATACAGAAACAGCATTTAGGATTACTGGGTGACTGTTTCAACTCAAATTATAATTTACCAGGAGTATTTTTACATTTCAAAATCATTTTTAACAGCATTATTCTCTCAATAATGATCCTAGAAAAAAAATAAAAATAATTATATAATTATGAAACATAAGATTAATTATAAAATTATATAAAAATATATAAACCTAATTTGTGATGCTGGGAGGAAGGGTATTTCATGAATCTTACCTACAGATTCAGTGGTGAAGAAAATAAACAACGCTTGCACTATCCAAGTTTTCAATGTCAACATCTTGCATTAGATATTTCTGTAAAAGACATACAATGGTATTATCTTCAATATTTTTTCTCTTACAACACATAATAACACAATTTCTGAAGCTCTTGCTTCCACTGTATAATCATCTTCTAAACGGTGATAAAATTTTATGAGGATGCAGAAAACAAATTTAAGTCTTCAAAACATTTTTCTTTATTCCCACTGGAGTTATGGCTAATAAAATAGTGATGGAAAACAACTTACACTTTAAGATCAATTAAAAAAGCAATCCTGTTTCTTTTGATGTGTAGACTTGTACTATTAGTAAACACTATGTGAGACAATACTTCAGAGAGACAAATTTCTTCATGGCAAAACCCACCAAAACCAACCTCAAAAGATACTCGCCAGAATGGAAAAAAAAAAAAGTTTGTAATTCATACCATGACCAAAAATATCCCCTGATATATGAAGAATGCCTACAAATCACTAAAAAATTCCAACACCTAGAAGAAAAACAAGCAAGATGAGCTGAACAGACAATTTATAGAAAAGGAAATACAAGTAATTTAAACATATGAAATGATACTCTCAACTTCACTCATAATGAGAGATGCAAATTAAAACTACCCCAGACAGAAATACAAGATAAAAGAGACACGCTGGAAAACAATTTGGCAGTTCTTTACCAAGTTAAAAGCACATAATAACACTGGGCATTTCCACTCCTAAGAATGTATCCAAGAGAACTAAAAATACATGTCAACATGAAGACTTTTACTCAAATGTTCATAGCAGCTTTAGTCATAATAGTCCCCAACTAAAAAAAATGTCTATCAACTGGTGAATGGATACACAAATACCCAAACAATCGTATATCCATACAATAGCATACCACTCAGCAATACAAGGGAATGAACTAGTGATACATGCAATAGAATGAATGAATCTCAAAACATGTGGAACGAAGGAAGCCAGACACAACAGGCTATGTACTGTATAATTCCATTTACAGGATATTCAACAAATGGCAAAATTAAGGTGACAGAAGGCAGATAAAGGGCTAACTGGGGCTGAAGTGGGGAAGGGGAATAAATGTAAAGAGGCACAAAGGAACTTTCTGGGGTGATGGGAATGTTCTATGACCTGAGTGTGGTGGTGACAAGACTACACATTTAATATTCAAATAGTCAGTAGTCAAAATTCACTGAATTGTGTTAAGAATAGTGAAAGCTCTAAGATTTTACCCTACTTGCAAGCTAACAAGTTAGCTTGCCAGTTCTATGGATACTGGCAGAAGACCTGAAACTCCTGTTGTCAGAGACAAAAGACCTGATTACTCACACCAGGAGCAGCATTTTCAGATTATCAGCATTTTCTTGCGCCAGTTGCCTGAGCCCCAATTCCGACACAGCATTGTGAAGAGAGTCAGGTAACACCTGTACACACAGTGGGTTATGTTACAGGAGAGAAGACTGAGCTTAAAAACCCAGATCTTTTCAAACGTCAGTAAGCATGCTTGCCTTTTACTCTGGAGGAAAACATTACCCCTATTTTTCAAGGTTGTAAGCAAACCTTCAAGAGACCTATGAGGAATTGTATCCTAACAAACTGTACAGTAAAAATTGATCAATTTTATTCTTTATAAATTAAAACTCAATTTAAAAAACCCAGCAAAATCTACTTGGACAAGGTGTATACCCAAAAGACATCAGTGCCTCACTCCTCTAAAAGACACGTACAGGAATGTTCATACAAGTGTTAATCATAAATAGTGAAAAGTAGAAGCTGAAAACCAGAGAAATGGTGGAACAGAAAAATTCAAGTAACTAAATCACAGTAATGAAAAAGAATTACAGGTACTCAAAACAAAATGACTGAATCTCACATACAATAGAGAAGAAAGCAATCAGACACAAAAAGTATACATGATTCCCTTTATACAAAGCTCAAAATCAGGCAAATGTAATATGTGGTGATAGAGATCAGAATAGAAGTTATTTTTTTGGGTGGTGGAGAAGAGGACAGTAGAGAGCAATCTGGGATGCTAGACATGTTCTATATTTTGGACTATGGTTATGGTCTGTGGACTTCATTGCATGTAAGTTGCACAGTAAAAATAGTAAAAAAATAAAACAAGAACTACCCAATATCATTTCTAGTTTTGGTCAAAAAATAAAAACTAAAAAATTATCAACAGTGTTATGACTGTTGAGACGTTGAGACTATGAGACTACGACATAAAGGCCGTCTCATACACTGCACATTACAGTATAAAATGGCATAACCTTCCCAATAAACTGTACACTTAAATCTGTGAATTTTATTATTTGTAAAGTAGAACTCAGTTATAAACCAAGAAAAGAACCTATGCACAAAAGGCATATGCTCAGTTTTGCATTATCCATCAAAATTAAAACACCTATGTTTGAATGTAATGATTATATTTCTAGTATTTTATACTACAGATATGAGCAAAATGACACATATAGAAGATTATCAACTACAGCATAGTAAAAGGCTGAAGCAACCTAAATGTTCGTGAATCGGGGAGCAGTTAAATTATAGCACATCCAAATAGAGCATACATGTACCTACAAAAATGAGAAAGCTCTAGATCCACAGGTATGTAATGATATCTAAAATACTGTTAATGTAGGGGTGCCTGGGTGGCTCAGTCAGTTGAGCACCCGACTTCCGCTCAGGTCATCATTTCGCAGTCTGTGGGTTCGAGCCCCGCGTCGGGCTCTGTGCTGACAGCTCAGAGCCTGGAGCCTGCTTGGGATTCTGTGTCTCCCTCTCTCTCTGCCCCTCCCCTGCTCATGCTCTGTCAAAAATAAACATTAAAAAAAATTTTTAAATACTGTTAATGTAGAGAACAGTATATTTTTGGTATTTGTGGGAAGAAACCACAAAAAGGTAAAACACACAATCATTTCCTTATATATGCACAAAACACCTCTAGAAGGATAAAAATTCAAATACTGGCTGCCACGAGGTAAGACACCTAGGTAGGAGGGAGACTCTCTAGCATATACTAGTTGCACCTTCTATGTGACTTTAGTACTTAATCAAAAAAACTAAATTAAAAATTTTTTTTATGTTTGTTTATTTTTGAGAGAGAGGGAGAGACAGAGCGTGAGCAGGGGAGGGGCAGAGAGAGAGGGAGACACAGACTCCCAAGCAGGCTTCAGGCTCTGAGCTGTCAGCACAGAGCCTGACGCGGGGCTCAAACTCACAAACAGCGAGATCGTGACCTGAGCCAAAGTTGGACGCTCAGCTGACTGAGCTACCAGGCGCCCCCAAAAAACTAAAATTAAATTAAAAAATTCTTGATGCATAAACTCTCCCAAATAACACTATCAACTTCTTGGTGAGGGCTTCACAGTACTATATTTGGAACAAAGTATTCTTTCATTAAATAGTAATACTAACTTGATTTTATGCACTCCCTTACCATGTAACAGTCACTCCATAAACAATATGTTCATGAACTATTTAGATTCTCCCAAGGTAAAGGTATAAAAAAAGTTAAGGCGCAGGAACCATTTTCCTCCACCTGTTGTATCTCTTATTTGCCAACTTTAAATAGTCCCATATGAGAAAACTCCACATCACTCAAGTGTTGATCAAAACAAAATAAAATATCAAGGCATGTTAGGAGAGCGATATGTGGTCATGCCATCCTGACCACCCCCACCAAGTACCTTGTTCACACTGTGCAGAGGATTCTCTATGGTTCCTGGAAACTGGCAATCTTTCTACTTTTGCACTATATTCTTACAACAAAACTCCAAAAGAAGAGATCCCATGAAGGTATTTATAGTTACCACAAAGCAATTAGATTTATCTAAGCGGGGCCACAAACACATTAAGTAAAGGAAAACAGGCAAAGTTAGGTTTCACATTTTTTAGTTAGAAAACAATGTTTCCTAATTTTTAAAGGATTGTCATTGAGATGTGATGAAGATATATGCATTACGGAACTTAATTTCATAATTCAAACCTAAGAGATGGAAACACAGTAGCACTAGCTAAAATATTAAATGCAATACCGCCAACTTAATTTTGGGGCTTATCTTGTTTTAAAATGGATAGAATTGACAGTATCCTGCTTATTGTTCCTGTCCTTTCAGTTTGTTGACAAGACATATTCAATTTACAGTTCTATTATTAGCATTATCCTCCTTCATCTCTTGCAGAATTTTCCATACATATATTATAACCACATTGCAAACAATGATTTTCCTTGATATTTGCATGTTATTTTGGAAGATTTTATGGAGCTAAAACATAACTACTAACCACAGATACAGGGAATGTTTATTCCAAGCAATGGGTGGTTCTTCTGCAGTGGCAATTCCTCAACTGTGGTGGTTCAACACAGTAATGCGTTGAAAGGTGCTATAAGACGCATCACAAGTAATTCACAACTATTAAAGTAATAAAGTTAATAAATGATGTAAAAAATAAAATAAATTCAACACTGTCTCTATAGTTGATTGTTCTTACTTTGATTCCCATGGATTTTCTCAAGTGTGAAAATGCATGGGAATTATAATGGATAAATATTTAATAGCTTTGCTCTTTATAACTATTTTTTATAATTATGTTATTTGTGGATTGTGATTTTTGAGTCTCTTGTTCATTTCACTTTGAACCAAGGACAGAATAAAGAAGCATGAATAATATGTATAGATATAGATTTCATGGGAGGAAGAATGTCAATATAAAGTTAATTACTACAGTAACATTACTACTATAATTGCAGAATAGATGAACTACAGTTGCCAAATAGAAGGCAAAGTAATGTTTGTTGAGTAAGCTGGGCAGGGATGAAGATGGGAAAAATTTCAGTATGGTATCATGTATACATAGTACAGTGTTACCCTGAAAAGTCTGCAAAAAACCATCAAACTTATATTATATTAGCTAATTATTATTTTATTTATTTTTTAAAGTTTATTTTTGAGAGAAAGAGAAAGAGAGCACATGCAAGCAAACGGGGGACAGGAAGCAGACTCCAGGCTCTGA